TTGGCATTTTTTACCTCCTTCTTTCTTAACTTTACCACAATTCATCATCATATATTAAAATCGATTATGCAGACATCTAGTTAGATTTTTGAATCAAATTTAAGAACTGTATTTTCTGGTGAAATTTTATTTTTTCCAACAAGGTTCGTTCCCGACATAAACTTATGTCAATGTAATCCAACAATAAACAATCACATCAATTAATTAAAATTGATAGTTAAAAGAAACGTAGAGTTATTCAAATCCAAAAAATATCAGTTATGAAATTCAGAAAAATATTTCAAATAATACCATTTTTTCCGGTCATGGTGATTGGAATTCATAATTATACAATGAAACATTATTTATATTCCTTGTACTGAAACCAGATGAAGAGAAGAAGATTATAGTTGAAAAACATAGATTGTGGGAGGGACCGTGTGTCGGGGATGTTACGGTTTGGCCATTTGGATCTAACAGGAGAGAAAAAGGAGTGGTTGCCATGGGTGGGTGAGTGAGGTTATTTTAGAATATTCTTTATAACTTTTTTTAGTTAATTAAATAGACTAAAATAGTAAAAAATATTAGAATTTCATTTTTTAAAAAAAATTTTGGACTCAAATGCCACATGTCATCATTTAATTCATCAATTTGCCATGTCACTGCCATGTCACATCGAATGTAGTACACACTTCTCATATTTTTGGCTGATTGTCAAAAAAATGTCAAATAGGTATCAATTTTAAGGGGTATGGGTGTTCAATAGGTACAAGCCTTAGTTGAGGTGTTTAAATGAATTATGCGAATAACTTTAAGGGGTCGCAGATGACTTAAGCCTACATTTTAATGAACATAATGAGCTCTGATACCAGTATTGTTGGGTTTAAGGTCTTTTCTCCTTCCTATGTGGATATATAAAAGTCTTATTTGTACCATTCATTTTAGTCCATAAGCCCAATAATATGTGGCATATATAAGGCTTGTTAAAGTCTTATTTTCAGACACACACGAGAGAAAAATTAAGAAGGATCCGATTTAGAGATTGAGAGAAAGAGAGAAAAAAATTGTTTGAGAAAAGTTCTACTTAATCAGTCTGTTATAAACATAATTTGCTTCTTTGTTAACCGTTGGATCATGCTCAAATGTGAACTGAGAGTTCTCAGCATCTAGTTCTTTGAGCAAAGTTGAAATATGTTACAGGAATTTCAATCAAAGTTTATGTATGTGTTGAACTATCTTCCCTACATTTTTTTTACAGAATTTTGGCAATTAGTTATATTGAATACTTACCTTTACGATTCTTATAGCCCCTATTTTTGTGTCTTCAATGTCCATTCTAACATGATCTGATGAATTAGTCATTAAATCCATCTTTAGTTCTGCCTTCATACAACTTAATGATTTTTATTGATTGTAGTTGTGGTCATGCCAAGATGTAGGGGTGTAACACCTCAAAATTTCTAAGCTAAGACCCGAACTATTCTTCATTTACGTAAAAGGTCATGTCGGGTGATTCTTAAATTGCCCATATACGTAAAGATAAATTCCTTAGTGTGGGAATTATTTTGGATATCAATTAAGGTCACTAGAAATTCCTAGCACAAAGTTGAGTTGAAAGTTTCCTTACCGATTAAGTTTTGATGTAAGATTCTCTTTGGGGTCAACTTCAAACGATCATATCTCTTAGAATATAAAGAGTTACGTGGCCCATAACCTATCAAATTGAAGGTATTTGAATCTTCTTTCCAATGCCACCAATTTCGCAACAATCTGAGTTTTGAGTAAAAAGTTATGACCATTTTAGTAACCTAATATATAGTGCAGTGACGACTTAGCTGACGAGAAAACATTAAAAAGGGTCGTTTTTATCTTTTTACCTCTAAGAAACCCCAAAACAAATTTCTTGACTAATTCGAGACCCAAAACAATCAGATTCTCATCTCTTAATCCATCATTATCTTCTCTCTCAAACCCCAAGGCAAAACCCTAAGGAAAAATCAAAGTAGAAGACTTCATTCAAGATTCTTTCAATCTTTTTCAAGATTCTTTTCCAAGGTAAATCTTTCTCCAAGAATTCCATTCTTTCCAACTCAAATTCCTCCATACAATTGTGAATTACTAATGAATATCATAATTCTTGGCAATAGAATTTCAAGAAACTAATTCATGAAATCTCAAGAAAGGTTTTCTTGATTTTTTCTCCTTCAAGCTAGGGTTTCAAGGCTTCTAATCAAGTTCTTCTTCAAGATTCTTCAAGAACCTTGTTTTTCCATGTATGTAAGGCTATCATAGAGTTAGACTAGTTCTTCCTCACGCCCTACATCTACTTTCAAATCAATAAAAGAGTAATCTAGGATTCTACCCCTAGGTTTGAGTATTCTTGAGATAAGTTGATTTTAAGTTCTTGAGTTCCTGATTCTTTTTAAAATTCTATTCCTAATTTTTGAATTGCTATATGTTATGCATTGAGATTCTTGATTTGATTCGTTCATGTCTATATTTCAGCATGAACCCTATGAATTGAATATTCTTGAGATGAGTAGTACCATTGAGTTCTAAGTTCTTGAGTTCTGAATATTGAGTTTTCTATATTGTTATTGAGATCCTTGAGTTGAGTTGTTTATGTCTATATTTCAACATGAACCATATTTTGAGAATCTTTTAAAGCAACATTTTTTAAATTGAGTTTTTGGGTAAGTAAAGATGAGTTTTGAGAAAGAGTTTCTAAAACATGATTAGTATGATGATCGAGTATGCCATCAATGTTTAAGCAGTATGGTATCTAGATATACCATCAATGTTTATGCAGTGTGACTTCCCGAGTCATTAATGATCATATTACAATATGATTTTGATATGCTTTTGAGAAAGAGTTTTCAAGTATGAGTTAAATAAGAGTATAAGGGGACTAAGTATTCCCAAATGTATCAGTTTTTACATTGATAAAAGAGAAACTTTGATTTCTAAATGAGTTATGAGTTCAAAAGATATTTCAAGAGCATCTACCCCTCTTTTAAGACGGTAGTTTGAGCAATTATCTCAAACCAATGGAAGAGTTATGTTTTTAAACATATGAGCATGAAGTGTATATTATTGGGAGTAGTATTGAGCACTGATATAGGGATGATTTTAGACAACTCACATTCCTCATAAATCATGTATGTCAACATGGGTACAAGATCATTCTTTTTAGATGAATTCTAAGTGCCTTCGGGCAGAGCTTAGTGGATCCACTTAGTTGAGGTGTCCTATATCTCGGCAAGGTATAGGACAGTTCTGACAGCATGAGCGAGACGTTATATCATCATGTAGCTCATAGTGATGGTTGTCGGTTAGAAAATCTCCCAATAGAGTTTACGTGTATTTTTATATATCACTTATTATGTTGAGTTAAGAGATGAGAAAGTATTTTGTAAAGCTTTAAATGATTTAACTCCTTTATTTCTTTACATTCAGCTTGAGTACATTGTTATCTATTATAGTCCTTTCTTTCAGTTATTTATTATTCAACTATATTACATTACTTGTACATTCAATGTATTGATGTCATTCGACCTGCATCTTTTAATGATGCAGATACAAGTTCTTAGGATCCTTAACAAGAGGATGTTGAGATCCCTTCCTCCACTCGTCAGCTTTTGAGTAAGACCTCCTTGCTTCCAGAGGACTCTAGTTTTGTGAGTTATTAGTAATAGGTTTTGAGGAGTCATGGGTTGTAACACCTCATAATCTAGTAGGCTAAGCTAGGGCTAAGTGAGATGGCAAGAACCAAGGAAGTGAGCTTGGGCAACATTCACCAAGCTGTGCCAACCTCCCACGACCACTATGACGCCTCGTGGTGAGAGGCGTGGTGAGCTAAATAGTAGCTAGCCAAAGCTTCCCAAAAGAGGGACCCTCCCACGAGCCACTTGACGGCTCGTGAAGGGCACTATGGGCCGTGGGAGAGGTCGTGGTCAAGAGTTAGTGTTTGGAGGGTAAGTGGTGGCAAGCCAAGCCACTGGTCAAGGGACCACGGGCACCACTACGGGCCGTGTGACCCTTGACGAGCCGTGGTGCCACTTGTGAAGGTGGTTCGACAGACTTTAGTTCACGGGTTTTTAGGTATTTTCCGATTTTAATTGAATCAAATCTATGTCGTTTTACCCAAGTCTAGGACTCCTATATAAGTTATTTTAACCCCAAAACTCACCCATTCAAATCATTATTTCCAAAACCCAAAAGAAATCCCAAGTTCTTCTCTCAAATATTTCTCTCTCTAAAACTTCAAGAAGAAGAAAAAGTTCAAGCTAGGATCTAGGTCAAGTCTCCATTCCTCAAGTATTTGTGGGTTTTGATATCAAGGTATGATGGCTTTTCATTCATGGAAACCTTCCTTCCACGGAGTCCCCAAGATTTCCCAATTAAAAAGTAGAAATTCCCTAATTTGTGTTAGGGTTTTCTTCTAATGTTGTGAGTCTTGATGAATGTTGATCCAAATGATTGAGTTATAATTGTTTATGCTTGAATTGATAGGAATACATATTTTTAGGATGAATTTACATGTACCCATGCTTAACCCATGTTTAGAAAGATGAAATTGATGTAAACGAGTTTTATGCCAACAAGGAGAATTTGTAGGCTTAGATGCATCCTTATAGGATTGATGAATTATGATTAGAATTTCTTTGAGAGTGAAGCATATATGTTGATTATGAGATGTATTTCTTTGAGAGTAAAACTTATGTTATAAATTGTTGATTATAGATGTGATTGTTGTGGAAGGGATAGTTCCCACATGAATTGCTTATGTATGAATGTGAAAGGCATTGAATGATTCTAGGTTGAAAGGATCGCTCACCTAAAATGAATCTAGACTAAAAGACTATGAAATTGATGAGGTAGAGGCGATTACCCTTGACCTCTAAATGAGAAGGATATGAGGCGATTTCTCATATTCCTTAGAATTGAACAAGAGGCGACTCCCCACATTCCTATTATGATGTTGGGCATGGAGGTGAGTACCCATGACCCATTAGTAAAAGATGTGGAGGTGAGTACCCATATCTTATAATGAAAGGACATGGAGGCGAGTACCCATGATTCCTTATAGAATGATATGGAGGCAACTACCCATGCCATATGATGTTGGGCATGGAGGCGAGTACCCATGGACCCATAATATGGACATAGAGGGGAGTACCCATGACCATATATGTAAGGAAAGAGGCGACTACCCATTAGCCTTTATAGGAAGGCAAGGAGGTGATTCCCCATGTCTATAAAACATAAGCTAAAGATGAGAATGATAGGTGATGAACTTGAACGATGGCCTAAGGTTGCCAACTATGATGAGTAAGACTAGTGAAGGATTACCCATGTCTTGGCTAAGTATGCTTTGAGGTTACTTGAGAAGTATTCCTTTTATGTTATGATGATCTATTAATGCATTGATTATGCTTATGACTTATGTTGTCTAACTCTTATGTTTATGTTGATGTTTATGCAAGCTATCATATTTAGTATATTCTTGTACTAACGCATACTCTTGCCTACATTTCTTATCTAAATGTAGGGTCCGACAATCTCGACTCTCATCCCCGTGGCTAGGATCTTAGTAGAGGCAAAACTTCAAGATTGGTGAGTCCTCATAACATTCGAGGATTTGACCACCATTTTCTTATGTTCTTTAATTTTATGTTTTGAACATTGTTGCATGGGCTGTGTCCCAATGAATCTTTTGTATTAGATGGTTTTGAGACAGTTGTATGAGACTTCCGCTTCGTTTTATAAAGACTTTGATATTGTTGAAAAATGTTTTAAATCTTGTCATTTTCAATTATTTTGACTATGAAAGCTAAGTGGCTTATATGAGGCCTCTCGGGGTCTTGTATGCCATGTTACGTCTAGGGTATACCCTGGATCGTGACATGGATCTTGTCCCGATACTCATTTTTATACAGTAGAGGCTTCATAGATAAACAGTTTTGGAGAGTCTTTCAGTTTCAGTAGGTTTCTTTAAAACTTATGTTTCATACTCAGTATATTCAACAAAGTTTTGAGTTTCAGTAAACTGTTTTTAAACGTTTTTTTTCAATTTGATACTTATGTATGCCCAAGTTAGTCTTCCGCTTGTAGTTAGCCAAGATGAGAGTTCGCTTGGGAACCAACAATGGTTCTCGAGTGCCAGCCACATCCAATGTGTAGGCTCGGGTCATGACAAGGGATTCCTACTACTGATGCCAAATAAAACAAACACTCCTTTATGTAGTATATGACTAAGAGATTTGGGAAGGAGAGCAAGCCATGACTTTTATGGTCTGCTCCTAAGTTCGAATCATAATTCATATCTTAGAGGTCTAATTTGGTATGATTATATCCTTTGAGTTGATGTAATATCTTAGAACAAATCTTTATATAAAAATAACCCTATCAATGTATGTCTATTTTGAGACAGACCTATTTCACACTTGAAACGTCAAAACACCAATCTTCGAGCAAGTACCCGAAACTAATATGAGACTCTCCGAATAAAAATCTAATATGCAACTCAATCATAAAATATATTCTGGAGTTGTTGGAATCATCAAATCAGTATTTCAAGGTCAACTTGATCAAATGTTGACCATGGTCAATCTAAAACTTTTTAAAATACTAGAAACTCAACCAAGAGTACGAATCACTTCCAAACGCTTCAAAATCAATTTGAACAACCTAACTACTAAGTCATTACTCACCTTTCATACCTAACGAAGCTATCAAAATCGATCTCATAAACTCAAAATCTTGACTTGGATCAAATTTTCAAACATAAAATTTATTCTTTGATAATGCATCGGATCGTCTTGGGAATCATGACATCCATCCCTGCAAATAGGGATAGATCTATATGTATGGCTGGGGTGCCATGACACTTAGTAACCTCGATTAAAACTATGTATGCATATATATACATGCATACATACATACATATTTATGTATGTATAACAAATTGATCATATATGAAACCTGTCAGCCATGAACCAAAATCCTTAATGGTGCGACTTGTAAAAGGCTGAGTCCACCACACTGGTGTTGAGGGTTTGAAACCCCTTGTCGGCTTTGTGTTTTTGGCTTCTTCTTTTTTTCCCCATTAATGTGCATAAGGCTTCAATCCCCCCCCTCCC